GGCTCGTTATTTATCATGGAAAAAATTCGCCGGCAATTCGCCGGCTCGTTATTTATCAGGGAAAAAATTCGCCGGCAATTCGCCGGCTCGTTATTTATCAGGGAAAAAATTCGCCGGCCTCCTTCAAGTTGGCACCGGGGGACAGGTTTACCTACTAAATAAAAGAGAACCCTGGGCTCAGGCCCTTTCCGGGAAAAAAGAACAAAACATGATGGACCCACGAACCCGGAAAGGGATATAGACATGCGCAGCATGGTCACGTTTTCACGATACCCAACTGGGCGACATCTCACAAAACATCCCACGAGACACCCCGCGAAACATCCCACGAGACACCTCGCGAAACATTCCACGAGACACCTCGCGAAACGTTCCACGAGACACCCCGCGAAACATTCCACGAGACACCCCACGAAACATTCCACGAGACACCCCACGAAACATTCCACGAGACACCCACGAAACATTCCACGGGGGTGCGACTGGGTGTGGTCGTGCTGGGGTGTGGTCGTGCTGGGGTGTGGTCGTGCTGGGGGGGTGGTCGTGCTGGGGGGTGGTCGTGCTGGGGGGGTGGTCGTGATGGGAGGTGGTCGTGCTGGGGAGTGGTCGTGCTGGGGCGTGGTCGTGCTGGGGCGTGATCGTGCTGGGGAGTGGTCGTGCTGTGGTGAGGTCGTGCTGGAGTGTGGTCGTGCTGGGGTGTGGTCTTGCTGGGGTGGGGCCGTGCTGGGGTGGGGTCGTGCTGGGGTGGGGTCCTGCTGGGGTGTGGTCGTGCTGGGGTGTGGTCGTGCTGGGGTGGGGTCGTGCTTGGGTGGGGTCGTGCTGGGGTGTGGTCGTTCTGGGGTGTGATCGTGCTGGGGTGTGGTCGTGCTAGGGTGGGGTCGTGCTGGGGTGGGGTCGTGCTGGGGTGTGGTCGTGCTGGGGAGTGGTCGTGCTGGTGTGTGGTCGTGCTGGGGGGTGGTCGTGCTGGGGGGTGGTCGTGCTGGGGGGGTGGTCGTGCTGGGAGGTGGTCGTGCTGGGGAGTGGTCGTGCTGGGGCGTGGTCGTGCTGGGGCGTGATCGTGCTGGGGTGTGGTCGTGCTGTGGTGAGGTCGTGCTGGGGTGTGGTCGTGCTGGGGTGTGGTCTTGCTGGGGTGGGGCCGTGCTGGGGTGGGGTCGTGCTGGGGTGGGGTCCTGCTGGGGTGTGGTCGTGCTGGGGTGTGGTCGTGCTGGGGTGGGGTCGTGCTGGGGTGGGGTCGTGCTGGGGTGTGGTCGTGCTGGGGTGTGGTCGTGCTGGGGTGGGGTCGTGCTTGGGTGGGGTCGTGCTGGGGTGGGGTCGTGCTGGGTGTGGTCGTGCTGGGGAGTGGTCGTGCTGGGGTGTGGTCGTGCTGGGGGGTGGTCGTGCTGGGGGGTGGTCGTGCTGGGGGGGTGGTCGTGCTGGGAGGTGGTCCTCAGAATTCAGGTCCCCAGGAGAGGACAATCTATAACACAAAACAATCGTTTCGCTCGAGACATCCTCACCATTTTCTGAAAAACAAGCGTTTCGCTCGAGACATCCTCAAATTTTAATTCGCCGGCCTCAAAAACAAGCGTTTCGCTCGAGACATCCTCTAATTTTAATTCTCGGGCTCGTTATTTATCAGGGAAAAATTCGCCGGCCTCCTTCGACCTCGTTATTTATCAGGGAAAAAATTCGCCGGCAATTCGCCGGCCTCCTTCAAGCAGGCACCGGGGGACTATGTTTACATACTAAAAGAGAACCCTGGGCCCATGCCCTTTCCGGGAACAAAAAAACATGACGTGCGGGCCCCATAAGGAGAGGGCTCCCGCCTGAGACCTCCTCGTAGTGAACTCACAGACGAGCCTCCCGCTGATACTTCCCCCATGCTCAGGCCTCAGGAGCCCAAAAGTGACGACAATTACAAGTTCGAGGATGCCTCGCTCGGATTTTCTTATAAAACAAAAAAACATGATGTGCGGGCCCCTATAGGGAAAGGGTTCCCGCCTGAGACTTCCTCGCGATTCACTCACCAACGAGCGTCCCGCCTGAGTGAATGAGTGAGTGAGTGAGTGATGGTGGTGATGCTACTGATGTTGATGATGATGATGCGGTGATGCTGCCACTGATGTTGATGGTGATAAGTGTGTTTGAGTGATGGCGACGCGATGACTGCGTGAATGAATGATGATGAGTCAGTGGGTGGGTGAGTGAGTGAGTCAGTGCGTGAGTGAGTGAGTGGGTGATGTTATAGCGCGTGTTCCCGCGTGTTCCTGCGCGGAGTGTCTAGAGAAAACAAGAACCACACTTTGGATGTGGGGAAAATCACAGTGCACTCTGCAATGACCAGTCGTACAGCCGGCCAACAGAATCAAAGCGTAGAGCTCCGCCCTCGGGGAGGACTGCTTCTCGCCGGGCAACGCGCCCATGATGGTGGCGTCGGAAAGGCCAGAAGGACCCGGGTGGACGCGCGCCCAACCGCAGCGGCGGAGCCGCCCGTCCTTGGTGCACTTCCCCCCCGATCCATCTACGCCCCAAAAGCCCCCATCGATCTTCGTTCCTCCAACCGAGCGGCCCCGCTCCCGCGCGCGAGAAACGGGCGGCGGCAGACGCCCACGGGGACCCGCCAAAGGCGGGGGGCCACGAAGCCAAACGCAGGAGCGCCGGGGCTCGGCGCAAGCCCGATCAACGAGCGAACTCATGCGATCCACGATCGCATCGAGCAAAGCCTGGCTGGCGACGCGCCTCCAGAAGCGATGGGGCTGCGCCCCAGCTGGGGCCCCGCAGCGTGGACGTGCTCCAGCTGCGTGCGACAGACGCCCCGCGTCCTGCAGCCTAGCTTCAATCCTAAAAGCGCCTGTAGCTATGTTCCGCGCCATGTCTGCAGACTCCACCTCCCCCTGCTTCTCCAGGCTCCTGAGAAACCTATGCGTCATCGTAAAATCGACCCCTTCTTCCACTCCCATCCCCATGCGACGTCCCGCCGCAACCTTCCGCGACATAGCTTGGCAAGTAACGACCAAGCGGGGCCAGAGCTGGAATGGGGGCGTCTCTATCCGTCACGCGGAGCACTGCTGAACCAATGCGCCAGCACGCTGGTGAGATAGGGCCCCCATTCAAATCGAGAAGCGCTGCCAGCATGGCCGCGATCGGACCTCGCTCGAGCTGCCAGCGGTGCTGCGCGCACGAAGTTGCCAATGGCCTTCTTGCACATTTGTGCAGCACGAGCCCTCTGCTTGCGGGGCAATCGATTCCAAGTCGGGGCGGGCGAGTCCAACTGCTCATGGCGAAGCCTAGGCTGGGGGTCATCCTTAGCAGGGCCCACCAGACTTAACGCGGCGGTCGTGCAGGCCCCAGGGCTCCACCACCCCGAACAAGTAGCCACCTGGGCACGCATGAACTGAACTCGAGCGGGGAAGAGCCTTAAAACCCCATGGCCCCACGACCCAACCGCCAACGCCGCGGGTTTGTAAAGCTCGCGGGCCCCCCCCCACCGGGCGAATGAGAAAACGGGCCCGCGGGGCCTTTTCGCCTGGCCAGAGCACGCCTGCGGCGCGACTTCGAAACGCAACGCCTCCTGCCTGCGGTGGCAATGACCCCGAATCACGCAGTCCATCAGCCACCTTGATAGGTTGGCCGGCAGCGCGAAAGAGGGATGCAAGAGGACCTCGCACATCCTTACCATAACAAGGAAAGGTACTCTTGCTGGAGGTGGTAGTCCCTGCCTGCTCAAGCCGATGACAAAGACGCACCGCTGCAGGAACTGTACCCGAGAGAATATCAGACCCGGCGCCTTGCTGGGTCTGGGCAATGTCGCCCGCGTAAGCAAAGGTGGGCACAGGGCGCTGCTGGGCGCGCGCAAAGTCCATCAACTTGCCGTCGCTCGGACGTCCATTTCCCGTGCGCGTTTCGGTTTCGCGGGTGTTTTGCTTGCTCGATGGACCAGGATGGTCCTCGATGGTTATCGCCGAGAAAAATGCACACGCCCGAGCGATGCCGAGTGAAAGCGTGCAAATAATTTTTGGCCCACGGCATGGACTGCGCGCGCCCAGGAAGCGCCGCGCGCCCCGTGGGGATCACATTGGACACGGAGCCGTTGACCTCCAGGACACGCGGCCCGGCAGGCCTCAACAGCGGCGACGACAACGACGACGAACTGGGAAGGTCTGGCTCAATCGTCCACGTCCCAGGGGGGGCGCTGCGACCCCCCCCCCTGGTCGTCGTCGGCGTCGTCGCCCCAGGCGCCTCCTGCATCGGAACCCCAGGTGCCAAAGGCGAACTGGGCAGGCCACTTTCAAGGCGAAACCAGCCAGGCGAAGAGGATCCGCCCCTTCGGAAAACTTGCTCAAATCCCAATGCAGACCAACCGACAGGCCCCAAAGATAACTGGCCATCCCATGGCCTATCTCTCGCAAGAGAGACGCTTGCAACGCCGAGGGCCC